TCTCTTGAGAGCTCCCGCAGGGAGGTCCAAGTGGTAAAAGGGCTAGGGAGTGAGTTCGTAACCATCCTTCCCAAGGAGCTCCTTGAAGCATGTCAGGCTACGAACTGAGGAGTTTGAATCGTGTCGCGAGATATAAGAGTTTCGCTCTGTCGCGGTACGAAGAGAGCGAGTGGTGGGGGAAGCGACTGCAGGCGGCGCGAATTACGTACGCGTTCGCTACTCTCTCCTTGCATTCACGCAGAATACGACGACGATGGCTGTACTGTACAATGCATGCTATTTGCTATATTATAGCCCATCGTTACAATGCATATTACGTGAAGCAAAATGTCTTTAAATACATTTTCAAAAGTCACATTCTTGACTGCAAAATTAATTTATTATACGTAAAATATTGATTACTAATTATTAGTTATATTTTATAAATATAATATTTTACTTGTAATTTATGACGATAAACTATTGTCATAATTAAATTAATATTTTAAACACAGGTAAATAATAGGTATATGTCATGTATATGTATAAGTTTAAAATTCAAAATTGAGGATAAGTAGACACGTTTTATTTATTTCATGTTAAACTATATGTACTTACGGTACCAGGTGAAAAGAAATTATGTTTAATACATTTTTCATCACTTCTGTTCTTTTTTTTAATGTACCACGATGAAGGACACTGATTCACGAAACAGCTACTCATTTTGTTGATTCTTATTTTTTGAAATGTTTGAAACCGGCATCGAAAGTCATAACAACAACACACACAATTGACAGTTGATCACATATACAGACACACACATGTAATAAACACTATACGTGAACTGTAGTACAAAGCTTATCCGCCAGAGTTGCTAGTATCTGTTATATCAAATTTTTTAATTACTACCGCAAAACTGGGGGCAAGATTTTCTGACTCGGCCTATAGAGTGCGTGCTCCTTATACTACTTCATGATCCTAACTAACTGAGCTAAGTGGAGAACTGGTAGCAAGAAAATTAATTTTGCCTTTAAGGAGTTAATCATATTCTTGGTTCACCTTAAAGGCAAAATTGATTTTCCTTCTGACAGTTCTGTACTTAGCTCAGTTAGTTAGAATGATTGGTTTATGCGCGTCGATCCCGGGTTCGAATCCCAGTCCCCCCAAATTTGTTTTCAAAATTTTCTGCTTCATGTCAGGTTTCCAAAATAGAGAAGAGTAACAAACTTAACTTTTTATTTTAATATTTATTTATTAATTATATTATTAATTATTTTGTCAATATTTTCCATAACTGGTAAACTTATCACAAGCTTACCTTACAACTTATTAATTACCTTACCTCAACGTTGACATATAACCTTACCTCAACCTTAACATATAACGTTACCTCAACCTTAACGTGTAACGTTACCTCAACCTTAACATGTAAGGTTACCTCAACCTTAACGTGTAAGGTTATCTCAACCTTAACGTGTAAGGTTATCTGAACCTTAACGTGTAAGGTTACCATACACGGAGAGAAAAAAAAGTAAACGGCTCTACCTGTCGGTAGAGCGGTTGCGTTAAATGCGAAACAGACGTTTAACTTGAGGTTAAGCACGCTGCTTACTCTCGAGGGGAGAACGGTTCTCCTTTTTGGGGAAAGCGGGTACACTTTTTGGAAAGTAAGCGGCTCTATTTGTGTGGAGAAGAGAACCGATACTCCTCAAAAAGTATAACCGTTCGACGTTTGCGGCGCTACTGCTGCGCTTTATAAAGGGAAAACAGCGCTCTCTTGCCAAATCAAACGGCTCTCTTTTTTTTCTCTCCGTGTAGCCTTATCATATATACTTACCACACCCTAACATGTAACCTTACCTCCATGGCGGAAGTTTTTAGTTCACCTTAGGTCTACCACAGCAATATCGTGAGCCTTACGATATCGTTATGAGCCTTACGATTAGTATTCAACATAACCTTACCTCATACTATTGTGCTATGTGGGTTGATGTATTGACGTTGACATATGTATAGCTCTCCGATCTGTATAACAGAACTGTCTATAATTAATGACAGTAGCCAGTAACAATTTATTACTAATTCCTTACGGAAAAAATTGACATAATTCTAGTTTTTCCCGCGAATTATTTCTTTCAGTGTATACACTGATGTATTTATGGAAAATGTCTACATAACACTGTTCAGTTGCTGGACTGACGGTGATAGTGATAGTGACGGTTATAGTTTTTAGCCAGTTTAACTGTAAAGTGCCTCGAAATTTTCCAGTGGAACTGTCCAGTGCCCTTAAAGATACTATGACAAATTTCTACTAGGGACTTGCCATTTGACCAAATCACAATTTTACACAGAAAGAAGGTTAAGTTCGGAAAGACTCAGTCTGAAAACACATTTGCTGTGAAAAATTTGTGTGATTTTGTCAACTGGCAAGATAGTCATTTGGCCATCACTGCGTATATATGTAAAAATTAAAAGTTTCAAAATAATAATAGATCTCATCGTTTGCTCACAATCGGACAAGGCAAATTAAATTAAATTGTTAATTTAGTGCTAGTTTCTGACAAAAAATTTTGAAAAAAAATTGATCGATACATGCATTGGGGGTCGTCCATAAATTACGTAGGGGAGACTAGGTGCAGTTGTTACAATTTTGATAAAAACTGTTACTGTGATTAAAGTTTAACTCTAATTTGTTTTGTCAAACGATTAAATCAAAGGTATATTATCTAGTTTGAAAAGGCCATAATTGATTTAGCTCTATATCTATTATTTAATTAAGTAGAATCATTTGAGTGACAGCGTGTAAATTGTAACAACTGCACAAAGTGAATGTCGGTTGTTACAATACCAAAAATCATCTATAAAATTTCTAAATTGAAGACAAATAATTTTTTATAACCATTTTTATTAATTATTTATAATTTTTGGCTCAACGTAATAGTACGTGACAGTTCTATAGAGATGGCAGCATTAATATTGTTTCGAAATGAAAGAAACTTGAAAAAAAATTTTTTCATTAATTTTGAAGACGAATTTAGAAAAACCATGAGATTTGTCATAAAAAATGAGTGTGATTACATTTTTGACAAATATTTTACATTTAAAACGAATCTGCTGAATTTTGAAAAAAATATCCGTTCTCATTATCACTTGTAACAACTGCACAACAGGTACATTTTTTACAATAAAACACTTTATTAAAAAAGTATACACTAAATGTGGACAACCAAAGCAGTTTTTAAAGCCTAATCCTCATAGAATTGATATTAAAAAAATTTACTTTGTTAAATATAAAGTGATAAGACAATTCTAACATTGTTTTTGAGTTGTCGAAAGAGAAGTACATAAATATATTGTTTATTGTATATTTACTTTAAACTTTGAATTTACCCAAATGCGAAATGTCGAGACTGCAAAAACAGCCCATCATTGGTCCAGTAATGTCTCCCAAGAATTGGCAATAGTTACTGGGCCATTTCTGGTGTTCAAAATGTCCCATTGCTGGGCCATTTCTGGTGTTCAAAATGTCCCATTGCTGGGCCAATGATTGCGCCGATTGTCAGATATTCTAATTTTCCAAGAATGGTCCGACTCTCGGCCCAATAGTGACACGTTATCGGCAAAGTTGGTCAATCTTTAATGGCAAAATACAATTGCCAGTGATGTGCCGACCATTGGCCCAGTAATGGCTAATTATTGGCACTTTAATGGCAAAAATTGTGTATCTTTCATGGCAAATTATAATTGACAGTAATGGGACGTAGCTCGGCCCAATAACGACACATTAATGGCTAAAATTCTTTATCTATGACTTTAAATAATAGTCAATATGTGGCACAAATTTTTTATCTTTGTTGGCAAATTATAATTGCCAATATTAGGTCGTAGCTTGGCCCAGTAATGACACATTAACGGCTAAAATTTTATATCAATGATGGCAAATTACAATTGTCAATAATGGGAGGTAGCTTGGCCCAGTAATGGCACATTAATGGCTAACATTTTGTATCTATGATGGCAAATTATAATTGCCAATATTAGAACGTAGCTCGGCCCAATAATGGCACAGTATAGGCCAGTGTAGTGTAGCTTATAAGAACCTTTTTGTTTCCTCGACTTTACGTCACAGTAGCAGAGTGGTCAGAGTGTTTGGCTTTGGTGCGTCAGGTTCAGGTGTCGATTCCCGCCAGCGGTAAGAATTATTCAAATGTTTGAAAGTTTGCGTTTAATTTGAGAAAATAAGCCGTATAAATATTATAAATTAATTAGTTAATTAATTAAAAAATATAATTATTTTTTTCATTTTAACCAATTCTATGGGAGTAATGGCAGCCAGTATTGGGCCATTAATGTCTGTCGAGATCTGGCTGCCAACCTCGGCTGACGATCAGCCGCGGTTAACCTCCCAAGAGTCGGTCCAGTATTGTCTGTCAAGATTCGGCACCAACTTTGCCAATACTTGACCATTATTGGGCCGTTTTTAATTTCGCATATATATTTAAGGGTAGTTTTTAGATTTAAACAAAAACATTAGGTAAAGGAGCAATTCTGAAATTGTTTTTGAGTTGTTGTAAGAGATGTGTATAAATTTATTGTTCTGTTTTGCAACACAATCTGTTATTTAACGTTTTTTACTTTAAACTTTGAATTCCCCAGGAGCACGTACCTAATGTTCCAGTAACATTGACAACATTGAGGCAATATTGGTAATGTTAAGGCAGTGTTCTCAATATTGCTGTAATATTACGTGCTTCTGGGGTTTGAACATTTAAGGGTGGTTTTTTAGATTTAAAAAAAACAGAGGGTGATGGAGCAATTCTGACCTCATATTCGTTTTCAGCGGGCAAAAATACTATAAGACATGTAGGTTTGGTTCAATTAACAGACCACTTTTATTTTTTTGTGTGCCTGTGTAATAACGCCAAACTTATTATATTTTAATTTTCAACAAAATTTTTTGATTTTCTTTCGAATTTGTCATAGAATTTTATGGTTATTACTAATATTATTAATATTTTTACCTGGCCAGTATATAGATAGACATTTCATTTTATTCAAGTCCACATCGTACATTCCACCTCGGACAACAATTCTTTCGTCAATATGTAATTTATTGTTTTCGCAAGACTCGCTATCTGCGAACGTGCTTCCATTTCTCCATACCTCCTCAATTCTTAAACTATCGTATCCACAAAATTCAGTCCATCTTTTGTTTACACAATAAAACCAACGTACTTCTTCAAGAGATAGAGGAACTGCATATTGGATTTCGGCAGTCGACCCTTTCACTTTATCAACCGCTTCAGATTTTTCCATCGGAACTTCTGTAATTTCCCACAAAATTATATTATTAACATTGAACAAAGCAGATACATCCCTGAAGATAGCAAATTGAGTAATTAATTTATATGTTTGTTAACTTAATTAAAATAGATCAGAAAATCAATAAGTCAGTTTTCAGTAATTAGTTATTGAACTCTTCATAAGTTCATAAGTTATAGAACATATCTCTTCACAACTGAGATAATTAGACAACTGTATGAAAGTTATAATATTAAACTTATTCTGAATATTCTTATATAGCTGTATTCTTATAGCAGGGGAGAGTCCCATCATTTAACCGGGTTTCTTTAAATTCCTGGTATTAATTAAATTTTACAAATTATGATGACTTTCTCGCATCAATATAAAACTGAAATACTCTTTTAGGTAATGCACGCGTTATAAACAACATTTGTATAAATTTAATAACAAAATTTAGTTTTTTCTTAACTGATATACATGTCTCATTTTGAAGGCCCTGTGTTTACATTGAGCACCTCTATTAACACACAAGAACTTACTTCGAAAATAAAATTGCTACTTACACTGTGTAAATAAACTTGTTTTGCAAACAATAAAATAGGAAATTATTGTTAAACAATCATTAGTTGATAATATATGAAGAAATTGCGGCCGGGTTGACCCTCCCTATGGGGGGTATGGTCATTTAACCGCGAAAAGTAAAGGTAAGGAAACCGGAGCAGTGTTCCCCCACCAGTATCTGCATCTATGCATTTTCCCCTCATTATTTAAGTAAAAATGAAAATAAAATAAATAATATAAAAATAAAATTAAAACGATAAAAATAGACAAAATTGAGAGTACAAAAAATAAATTAATTAAACCAAAAGTCGTTCTTAACCACTTTCCCACATCAGTTCCATTCATGTATTCTTGAGACAGCCCTAATTTTTGAATTTTTCTCCACCAAGCTTGCCCAAGATGAAAACGGCAACCAATTCTCAACGCATTTGGCCAAACGATATTTACAGCATTGTGAATCGACATTTCAAAGTCAATGGTGACTTCACTTGGATATAAAATTAAATTAAACTTTGAAAGACATACGGAAACTAACTCATAATTACAATCATTCAAACGATTATTTCAATTAAAAGCCATGATGGGAATGAAATTAAAATCAGACAGTGGAGGGGAGACAGTATTTCACCTCTTCATATCTCAGGTATCAGCGGCCACACTACCTTACCCCCCTAGCGAGGGTTTGATAGGTTAAAGTATTATCTCAATATATATTCATAACCTCTCGCAACTTGCGATCGTGACAACGTCGCAAGTTTGGCATATGGCCGTCTTTAAAATTTCGCGCCAAAAGTAGCAGTCGAGCTGTGGTATTTAACAAGCGCTAGTGCCACGTTTACGAATTCGCCTGTCATTTACAGCAAATGTTTCAATAGTTTTTTAAGTTTGACATTAAATATCTTTTAAACTAGACGGCAAAAAATATTCATTTTTTTATAAAAGTTCATTTTGGTTCATTAAATAAAACTTTAGTTTTTAAAAAAAATCTGACGATTAGTATAGGTGCAAAAATTAAAAATCTGTAATTAATAGGGTAGGGTGGGGCATTACTATTCGCGGGGCGAAACTATTCTTTAGTCCTGGAGAGAAAACTATTCATCCGATTAAAGTTTTTTTACACTGTATACTTGTCATGTGAAATGAACATTGCACGCCACATTTGAGCTTCTGGCGCCATCTATCATAGGAGTTAGGTACTCAAATGTGATTTTGATATACTCGCTTACTTGTTTTCACTCATTTAGTCTGCCTTTGTAAATAGTGATAAACGGTCGGAAAAATTATTTCCAAAGTCAAATTTAGTGCTGAACACGAATATCATAGTGGATTTTTCTTATTCTGTTGTTCAAAAATTTTACAAGTGTTTTTTAAAAAAATTTGCGGATGGAGCGAAACTATTCGCCCACTAATAACAGCGAAAACTACGAAACAGTGTATTTTTTTGTGTGCTTGTTTTTAGGTTAGAATAATAAGAAATTGGAAGAGAAAAACCAGAAAAAATCCTCCAATTAACAAATTAATTTTTATATTTTTTTAGTATTATAGCATTAATAGCTGCAAGAATAATTACGCCCCTCGTTTTTTTCGACATAAAAAAAAATTCCTAAAATCGCTGTAGTTCTCAACAGAATCGAGTTACAACAAAATAATACGATTGGGATTGCACGGTACTCAACATTTTTTCAGTGTAGTAATGCTCCACCCTACCCTATATGGTTTTCCTATACCGTACATGTTTAAGTTCGAAACTTTGATTTCATTTTTTGGGACTTATAGACGGTCAATTTTATTTTAATAAGGCCTTATTTTGTAAATATATATTCAAAGAATAATTATGTGAAATTTAAAAAAAATATGACGAAAACGAATCGACGCGACAAATACCTTAAGGGGTTAAACCACTCTAGAGCGTCAAAAAGAGGTTCTAATTTCAACATTTTTTTTAAAGAAAAGTTTAAAAGTAATGAAAAATATGTTTACATATCTCTATCAGGTACACTTTAAAGAGAAAAAAATATACTTTATAAATTTTTTTTTGGTTAAAAACAGCAGATGTACATGTACGTGATGGAAACCCTTTGTAAAAAGAATTCCTTCGCGGCCGGAAAGGTTTTTTGTACAATTTTCATTCTAGAACAGAAAACAAATTTTTTTCTATTTTTACATCTCAAAAGCTAGAGAAAGACGTAGGGGATTTTTTTTATGTTGCATATTCTTTTAGTTATAAACAATTTAGTGCCTATTTTTTTCAGTCAAAAACTCAGTTTTTCCATAAAATGTTCACCATTTTTGCAAAAATGGATTTAAAAAAAATCCCCTACGTCTTTCTCCAGCTTTTGAGATGTAAAAATAGAAAAAAAATTGTTTTCTGCTCTAGGATGAAAATTGTACCAAAAACCTTTCCGGCCGCGAATGAATTCTTTTTAAAAAGGGTTTCCATCACCTACATGTACAGCTGCTGTTTTTAAACAAAAAAAATTTATAATGTATATTTTTTTTTCTTTAAAGTGTACCTGATAGAGATATGTAAACATATTTTTCATTACTTTTAAACTTTTCTTTTAAAAAAATGTTGAAATTAGAACCTCTTTTTGACGCTCTAGAGTGGTTTAACCCCTTAAAGTCACTGCAATATTTTCAACACTAAGGACTTCTTTTCAGACACTTTTCTTAATGACTGAAACCGACATGGCACTTATTTGAACATATTTTCTCAAAAATATGTTGATTAACCTTTTAAAAAAGTACAAAAATTAAGGTTTTTCAAAAACAGCCCAACCGATTTTTTTCATTTTAAGTCCAAAATCATCAGGAGGCACCCTAAAAACAAAATAGATAAAGAACCGAGAGGTGCAAGCACTTTTAGGTTGAAGTTAGTTGAGTCCCACCGTGCCTATACCTTATTTTACACACGGAGAGAAGGGCGTAGTAGATTCGACTGACATGGCAGTTAAATCTACTAAACAGAATCGTTAGTTTTGGATTGACGGTACAGACAGTGCCATCTACAGCACTCTTTAGTTATTTAGTAAGATACACTGAGCAAACAGTATATATTCTACTAAACAGAGAGGTGTCGTAAGTGTATTATACTAAAAATTCAGTTGGCGCTACTATCGGCGTAGTTAAATTACTAAACGCGTTCTGTCAAATTTACTGCAACTCTTCTCTCCGTGCATGATCGGTCAATCATGAAAAATTTTTGTTTTGATATTGGTATGAATGAGTGAATGAATGATTAACTCCTGTGTGTAGACTTCACTTTATACAATGGTGTTTGTATCAATTTGAATGCCTTTTTTTTGTAATTTGACCGTTTGTTCTTGGAAATTTCTCGATGTATTTTCAGTTTTGCAAGAGTGCGAGGAACTTATAGTCGCATAATAATCGACTTAACTTTTAATTGATTAAATTCACGAAATTGGTGTTTTCTTTTGAACTCAAGTTGTTAATAACAATAATAATTGGTGAACAATAACTTTGTGTAAGTGGTCTTACCGCGAAATTGACTTTAATTAATAAATAATGAATTATTCCTTTGTTAATTGAACTGACGCTATTTTATTTCTATCTTTATAACCCAAATAAATGATTAATTAATAAATTAATTAATCCGAAAATTCAACAATTTTGTTATTATTTCTAGCTCACAAATTATATATTTCTAAAAATATGTCCTCTTATAAGTTATAACAAGTGTAATTTTTTTATCTTATTTACACTGCCCACAAAGCACAGTATTTTCTGCAAGTTTGCTGCAAGTCTTCCATGCAAAGTTCGCAAGTTTGCATCCAAGTTTGCAGCAAACTTGCATACGAATATAAATGTCACCCTCTTGGCAAGTTTGCAATGAAAACTTGAGGAAAATTTGCAGCAAACTTTCTAAAATACCTAAAAAATTAAAAACAATTTTTTTTCAAAAAAACGAGTCAAGTTGAAAAATATTCTTTTATTATTTATAAACCTAACAATTATTCCCAGTATGTAGAAACTGGTTATTTTAATAGCCAGGAACTGGCTAGGAATGATTTATTTTACTAGACAAGGACTAGACAAAATAACTTTACAAAATCTTGACGTTGCTAGCTTCACATCCCTTGTTCAAACCTGTCCATTTTTCCCATCTAGTTGCTAGATTAAATCTAGCTCAACTGGACAGTTTCTTATACTCTTCCACGGTAAATTTCTACACGGGAGTAGGGGGACAGAAGGAGAGAGATAGGCGTTAACGAAATTGAAAAATTCGAAACAGGAGCGTATGTTTTGAGTGTTCCTTTGATAAATATTCGTTACGTTTAAGTATGGTAGTTTCGTTATTGTGGTTTTTTTAAAATAAAAGTTATTAATTATTATCCGACATCTTCTAGATGCATAAAAAAATAAAATATATTAGAATGTATATTAAAATATGCATTGTACAAAAAGACACATTTTTATTTTTACAACTCAGTCATAAAAA